TATATCTGGTTTCAAGGGTTGTGTTACGTGAGCAAATGCGCTGTATTATTTAGGTTACACTGGAAGAAAAATTACACGTGTAGTGTCAAGGATGACAGTTAGTAGATAGTAGAAATTTGTGTGTACCTGCAAGTATTGTATAGAGATCTGTCATAATTTTGCCATTCAGTTCTTTTAAACTTTCATATTAAGAATATTTATTTCATTTAGTGAAATAAATTATGGAAAATGGGTGGAAGGAAGTATAGCATTTTCGTAAGTAATTAAAGATTTAAGAGGTTCCTCTCCAAATGAAAAATATATCATCAATAAATCTGAATGGGTAAGAGCTAATGCTGAAGTGAACATGCATTAACTCTTTCAGCATGGACTCAGTCCCTGGGACTGACCTCATAACCATTTTGTGCTTGTTATAGTTTTCATGCTTTACTTTTTAAATTAGTAAGCATATGTTAACAAAATTTGGCAAATTATCAGTAAATATTACAATGATTTCATACGCAAAATATAATTTTTTTTATTAAGGCTTAAGGTTTATAAAGCAATGTTTTTCTCATGTCTTTTTTGTTTCTTTTTGCATGTTGTGTATCCATCATGGAAAGTAATTTTCAAATTTCACATGTAAAATCTTTATAATGTCCAGATAGTTATCAAGCGTTTCTTATGAAAAAACTATATTTTATCTGTTATTTTCAGTAATGAATCTCTGTAGATTTGACCAATCTCATAACCACCATAAAAAATTAGGAAATAAACATAAATTATGCCTCTTTCATTCTTGAATGACAACAATTTATAACACAAAACATAAATGTTTAGACTAAATAGCTTAAATCTCATTACATTATACATTTATATATATCTATTATTTATATTATATTGACCTTTCAGCCGTGCCTGGTCAACAATACATAAGTTAAAATGACATGGCACATGTGTTCTCATGTTACTGTATCCAATAATATAACACTGACCTGTCTTGGTCGTGTTTTAGTTGACTAGTATTTTGTAAAATACAGCCACATTTCCATTATTATACATTATGTATGTATATAGATTATTGCTATTTTGAAATAAGTTCTTAATCTTATTTTTAATAAAACATAGAACAGCAAATAAAAAAGTAAAGCAAACAATTATCTCTTATAGTTACGACCTTTGTACTCAGTTGCTGCTTGATGTAGGTTGCTAAGCCTTATAAAATATCATACGTGAAGGATGTGAAACGAAATAATA